AATGGTGAAAGGTCGTCTGGAATTAAAGTGTCGCATGTTAACATTAAAATTAATGATTGTCTTTGTCGTAGATTTCATATAGTATAACCAGTCACTGGCAATTACATGTACAATGTACCTAGAAACAATACTTAGTGGTCAATACAAATTTGATTCAGTTGAACAAAGCCATTTGAATTTCTCCATGTGTTTGACACCTCCAGGACTGGCTGACCTGCATGATTACAGGCAGTAAAAGTGAGAGTGATGAGAAGGACAGCTGTCTGTCTGAGAACAGGTTCCTGCTGCAGACCCTGACCTCTCACCTGGTGAAGGACACCTTCAGTCTGGGAGAGGACGTGGGCCAGACTCTGCTGAGAGCCTTACTCCCCATGGGCACACAGGTGGGGACTTCACACATTCACTTGTTGCTTGATACTTTATAATGTTTACCGTAGGAAAACATATTGTTTGTTTGTTTGTTTGTTTATTTAAATGCAACAGTGCATAGCAAGTGGCAACCAGGTAACAAGGCTGGTAGCGGCTACCACTGACACATAAGTGCATAAATACAAAGTACAGTATAACTAAATACAATATCACTTAGTACATACAAATTAATTCAATATTTACAATAGCAATAAACATACATAGTACATACAAATTCAATCAATACAGATTGAAGCAATACAATATAAGTACAATACAAATTAATCGATGAAATGATCAAAGTTGAAATTTTTTTCTCAGTTTCCTCTTCTGTTCCAAACACTAACCTCTGACCTGGCCAATGACCTGACTTTGTTGACGTCTGTCACCATGGTAACTGGTGTTGGGTTACATCATGTTGCAATCTTTTAGTAGGAGGAATTAGACTCTGTCTGACCATATATACATGTATGAAATGTATTTGTAGTGAGTAAGAATTAACAGAGCAGAGTGACCATGCGCGTAGGTAAACATTATGCATTTTGCAACTTGCGAATGTTTCTAGTTGGGATATCCATTAGTTGCACCAACTTTTGTGCAACTAATCTTCCTGGATTCCAACTATAACACAAAACAAAACATTACACAAATTTCACAATGATATAAAAATGATATTGAGCTTCTGCACCACTTGACTTCTACACAACCTTCCCTCCAACACCAACTCACCAAGGTTTGCTGAAGTTCGGCGGTAGTCTGACCAATTTTAGGCCTCAGCTACCTTTCAATATCAATCAATTTGGAGTTAAATCAAATTTGACTGCTAACCATACCTTGACCTATTTCTGAACACCAGCCAATGACCAGCTAGCCACAACATGCTTTAAGCATTTCAAAACATATGGTACTGCCAAGCACCAGCAAACTAACTCTTAGCACTGTCACAGTCATGGGATTCAAATTGCTTTTATGCTGTATGTATGTGGATTGTGCAAAATGAACCACTGAGTAATCAAACTACACTTCCGGACCATTCCTGTCCCCAGATGCTGCAGGATGGAGGTACAGGATTCACAGATCTGCTGATCGTCATGGCAACTCTGGCAGGTGCAGGGTCAGGAACTGGGCATGTGCAGCTGTTCCAGGCAGCCATCGACTGGATCTGTACCTTTCAGCAGGTGAGGCTTGTACTGCAGGACACGGGGGGACCATACATGACATACAAGAATATGTGTATTTAGAAATGAAGTGTTTTTTTAAAAATTATTGAATCTCAAATTTGTATTTACCTGGCAGTGAGACCAATTTCCAAAGAAAATTATCCTTCAGACAAGGTGGAAGTGACGGAGCCTGCTGGCTTGAGTGATCCGTGACAGTCTTAACTTCAAGTTATATATAATCTTCCAAACAGCTGCTTTCCGTCCGATTACAATCTACAAAGCTTCAAAACAAATGTCCACCGCCATCTCATGACATAGCTATAATATACTCCTCTAAGTTCCTCTAGCTCTATGCCTAGAAGTGGCCAAATATAATTGGCCTTGCATTGAGCGATACCGTTAAAAAAAAAAAAATTAAAATCTTCAGGAATATTGAGCAACTGGGGTGTATAAGATTCTATATTTCTATCTTTCATACTGTATTCATTTG